TCGATCGCCGATCTAATCGATCAGCAGGCATTAGCAATCAATCGCCGAGCAATCAATCAGCAGGCATTAGCAGTCGAGCACCGAGCAATCAATCACACTCATTGCACTCTCCTCACACACTCACACACTTCTTGCACATTCCTTACATTCTCCTTGCACACTCCACTCATTGCACAGTCCTTGCATACTGATTGCATGCTCCTTACACACTTCTTACACACTTCTTCCACTCTCCTTGCACACTCTTTTCACACTCCCTGCATACTCATTGCACACTTATTCACATGCACTGCACACCCCCTACACACTTCTTTCACACTCCTTACACATTCTTTGCATACTTCTTGCACACTCTTTACACACTTCTTGTGCACTCTTTGTATGCTCCTCACACACTCCTTATAGACTCCCTGCACACTCCTTGAACACCCCTTACACACTTCTTGCACACACCTCCCACACTCCTTGCACACTTGTTGCACACATCTTACACACTTCTTGCACACTCCTTGCACACTCCTTTTACACTCCTTGAACAGTCTTTGCACACTCGTTGCACAGTGCTTGCACACTCCTTACTCACTCCTTGCACACTCATTGTACCCTCCTTACACACTCGTTGCCCACTCCTTGCACTCTCCTTATAAACTCCTTACACACTTTTCCTGATTTTCTGGGCTAGGAGCACCCAAAGCCAGCAGAACTGGCCTTAACCGCTTCTTGGAGGATCTCTCTTCTTTCTTCCTTGCCAAATTCCCACTGTCAAAACCCAGCCTAAAGCTCAGCTCCCCATCCCCTCACTCTCCAAGGAATTGGGCTTGGATTTCTCAATTCATCAGGGCAGAAATGCTGTTGTCCTTATTGTTAGGTTAACAGATGAAACCACAGACCCCTTATCAAAAGGCAGAGATGAAACATGCTCTAGCTGAGAGCTGTCAAGCTGTGGGGAAAGACAGAAAGCTGGTAAACATGGTGATAAAGAACACAGCAAGGAATATTCAGAATTCATTTTTGTCCCCTGATCTTCCCTATCTTGGCTACTTCATTTGGTTTAAAAGCCTGGCAACAGAAGCAAATTATGTGCCATGACATAAGCTATGTCCCATAGCCCTCTCTGCAGAGAAGGCTCCTGCTAGAGCTGACTTGCAAGAGCAATATACCAAGAAACTTTTTAAAGGGATTTCAGTGTCTAGAGGTCCTTCCAGTTTGGTATCTCCCAGATTTGTGGACTTGCTTGGGCGGTGCTAGGTCCCCATGCCCTAGAGAATAATTCTAATAATAAGAAAGACTTAGAGTTTTGTCTGACTCAAGGATGATGGAGGGAATGTCAAATTTCATCCCCCAGGGAATAGCCTCCATGTTCCCAGGCACACCCTTTCTGATCTCATCTTTATGAGGATCCAGATGCTGACTGACATCCAGAGAAGGGCTCTTTTGGGGCTGCAGGAAGAGAGAAGAATGAGATCCTCATTAGATTTTTCCTCACTATGAAGCCTTTTCTCTATCCCAGGCTCTCAGTCAGTGTTACAAAGACACTCTTGATACCTCATGTGGTTTTACAGAGTTCCAGCCACCTGCTCTTTGCTCCCCTCCCGTAGAGGGTCACCCAGGGTAGTTTAATTCCTCATATAACAACATGACTAACATTAAGTGTATTATTCAAGGTGAAACCCGACTCTGTGCCCTGTTTGTTCTAGACAATCATAATAAACAGGAGATGCTGCTGTTTGGACTCCCTGCTGAAGACTGGCAATTTCCTGGCAGCCCTTACTGTCCCAAAACACACAAGTTTTCCTTAGACAAAGCAGCCAGCAGCATCTTTCCTTTCTAGTGGGAAAGATCTGAAGGCCTCAGAACAACAGTGCCCTGGGCAAGCAGAGGCCTCTGGATAAGAGAGTCTCCTTCAGCACTCACCTGGGGCATTGCATGTTTGGCCATCTCACCTTTGCCCTTCTTTTGAGTGGAACTCCAGAGAAAATATGTTCACAAAACACAATCTCTGTGCAGCTCCTGACTGGCACCAGGACCCAGCCAGGCTTTGGGTGTGTGTGATTCCATGATCATGACACCACATCATGGGACAGGGTGGATTCTCCAGCACAAGAGGCTGCTCTGCCTTACCCTGAGTGTGCTGGACGTCACTGAGTGTAGCAGCAGCTCAGCACCTCCTCCTCCAGCTCAGAGAGGTGCAGGCAGTGTGGCCTCACCAGTGTCTCTGGGACAGGAATGTTCTGGGCTGGAGCAGAGATGGGGAGGAAGAGTTTAAAATCTAGTTGGAGAAACAGCTGAGAACAACTGAGTCATGACATCCAAGACAATGTTACCTGGATGGATTTTTCTTCAGTTTGCCATCAAAAGACAAAGCTTGGAGATAAGGACAGAGCAGGAGCAAAGGTTCTGCTTTACCTTTTATCAATATCTGCTACTGCTGAAAAATTTCTTTGCAGAGTAGCATGTGCTGCTGCAGTTGCTAGATCACAAAATCCTTCTGGCACAATATATTCTCCCTGTCCAGTGTATTTTCCTGCAGCTCTGTATTGCCAAGCTGAAGCTCATGGGCCTTGCAGAGAAGCCTGAGCACCTCCTGCTGAAATTCACCAGTAATTTGTCTGGGGAAAAATCTCAGAAGCTTTTTCCTTGGCATTTGATAAATGCTGCTCTAGCTCTGTCTGAAAAAGATAGGCAGAGGTTTGCCAAGGCAGCTCAGCTTCTTGGGGTGACAAAGGCATCTGAGCCAGTCTCTGCTGTCTCCATCATGTTGAGATTAAAGTAAAATCTAGCAAAACTATTTTGTATTTTTGTATTTGCTTGTTTTACTACCAGCTACCATATTTCAGTCATGGCAGACATTTAGAGATGCAGAGTCCTTGCCTAGAGGACTAAATACTAAATACTAAAAGTAATTACCAACATATTGAACGACCAGTGAATGGCAAACTCTCAACATGGGAAGCATTAGCTCAGTTGGTCAGAGCATGGTGCTAATAGTGCCAAAGTTGTGGGTTTGATCCCTGTATGGGCCATTCACTTAAGGGTTGGACTTAATGATCCTTGTGGATCCCTCCCAACTCAGAATATTCTGTGATTCTGTGAATTAGCTCACTTACAGGTGCACAAGCTCAGAGGGTGCTTTTCCTTCATCCTAAAACCCACAGGGACAGAGGCAGATGCAAACATCAATGTTCCTAAGCTACTTCCTTCAGCAGCCTGAAGTATTTAGGAGTCAGGTGCCCCACTGCTTTTATGGTGCCAGCACAAATCCACATAAACCTCTGAGCTGTGCTGCTGCCATCCTGCCCTCAAGCACCCACCAGGCAGAGGCCAGACTGGCAGCCCTGAGGGCACCTTCCCCTCCCCACCTTCAGGGCCACCCTCCTGAGCTGATCTGCCAACAGCAGGTTGATCTCTTCTCTCGCTGCTGGAACTTCCTGAAGTTCATGTGAATCCATGACATTCCTGTCTTCCTCCTCAGTGTTTCCTTCTTTCTCCTCCTTTGATGGCATATCATCCTTGCATGAACCCTGAGCCTCCTCTGGTTCCCAGCTGCCAGGAAAAATAAAAGGAACTTCTGGGACACAATGACATAGCTCTAGTGATTCATAGTCCTTCATTGTATCTGTTCAGCCTCTTCTTCCATGACAACAGCAGAATTAATTAGTCCAGGCTGCTCTGGAGCTGAACAGACCACGCAAAAGGACACCTTTCTCCCTTTGCCTCCTATGTGATCTTTCTGTGGAAAGAACACCCCAACACAAATTACTGCCTATTCACAGGTACTCATAAAATATCTTTAATGTCCTCAAGATTGTTTTAGCCATAAGTGACCCAAATCCTAAGGAAACAGAACTTCCAGTACCCAAAGGGAGTCTACAAGAAAGATGGAAAGAAACTTTTTACAAGGGCACGTAGTGGCAGGACAAGGGGAAACAGCTTCAAAGTGACAGAAGCAGGGTTAGATTAGATGTTAGGAAGAAATTCCTTACTGGGAGGGTGGTGAGGCACTGGTGAGGGTTGCTCAAAGAACCTGTGGATGTCCCATCCCTGGAAGTGTTCAAGGCCAGATTGGATGGGGCTTAGAACAACCTGGTCCAGTGGAAGCTGTCCCTACCCATGGCAGGGGGATTGGAATGAGATGATCTTTAAAGTTTCTTTCAACCCAAACCATCCTATGATTCTATAAAATTTACAGAGGCATTAGGTGGGTGACTAGTGATAGCAAACTGACACCTACTTATAAGTTTATCCAGAAGAAAAGGAAGCTGCTGCTTTTTCTGGCATGGAAACATGCCTAGAGGCACTGCATCCAAATGAAAACCTCTTCACAAGCACCAAGTGACTGGACCAGAGAAGGGCCAATCCAGTCTGTACTTCCACCCAGTTTTTTTCCTTAAAACTCAAGTTCAGAGTTAGGACCCAAAGAGGTGAGACATCTCCCATTTATACTTTAGTCTTGAGCCTAAACTTGCTGCTCTATGTGGTGGTTGCCTCATGGAACTATAGCTTCTCCTGGTGAGTTTGGAGGTCCAAGTATACATCATGTTGGAAGCTAAGGAGGTTCTCACTCAGCAGTTGTTAGGAGGTGCCTGCAGGTGTCCACTTGCAGCTCAGTGTTGGTGTTTTCCAGCTCCATCAGGATGTGACACATCTCCATTTTCTCTCTGAAAGCCTCCATCAGCTGTGCCCTCAAGGTGTTCATTACTTGGCTGTCATGTGCCTCAGGCCCTTGGTGTCTCTCTGCTGCAGGGGAAGACATTTCTGATCAGGCCAGGTGAAATTCTGTGAAATCCCCCCAAAACTACTCTGGCACCAGGCCACATGTTACAAAATGTTCTTTTATAGGACTCTGCTTCTTTCTGCAGTCTTGTCAAGTTCATCATGTGGTGAAGAAATCTGATATAGCTTTATGATTGCATTATTAGCAGTAACTAGGGCTCATTGCTATGCTTTTGTGAATATAAAAGGGAAATCGCATTGCAGGGAGATCTCTTCTGGCTTTGCACACACCAAAAGGAAAAAGGTATCTGTTTTCTGTGCTTGTTATCTAGAAATAACCTTGGTTGTTGGTAGCAGAGGCCTATTATATCTCATGTATTGTCTATCAGAGAACTTGACTATTTTTATTTCATTTCTTGCCAGATTCACTGACAAAAGGAACAATCCTTGGGGCAGAACATCAGTGTTTTAAAATCTTCACCCTGCCCGTCTCTCCATTTTTTTCTTTTTTTAAATTACATTTAATGGACCATGAGCAGAGCTCAGTGTCCTGACACAGCCTCAGAGCCCAAGGTGACACAGGCTACAAACTCGGTCACCTCTCTGTGAGAGACAGGACTCCCCACAGCAAATGCCAGCATTTGATGTCAACTCTCTTTTCAAGGGCAGGTTTGTGACATTTAGCACATTTTAAGGCTGAGGAAGACACTGAGAAGGGCAATACCCAGAGTCACACAGAGAGGCTCATGCAGAGAAATAACTTCAGCTCCCCTGCCTGCCTCCACTGCCCATCAGACTATGCTACTGTGCTCCTCTACAAGTATTCCTGAGCCATGAGAGACCCATCCAGCACCACCACAATCCCCCCACAGAGCCCCTCTCCTGCTCTCTTCCCTCCAGAAACCCCAGAGCCATTCTAGCTCCTGGCTCTACCTTGCAGAACCCTGAGGTTGGGGATGACTTCACTTTTCTCCTCCTGGTTCTCAGCCTTCTCCCTCAGCTGCTTGATCTCCCCACATCCATACCTGGCACATCATCCTCTGCCTTTCCATTATTCTGCCTCTTTTCTTTCACCTTCATATTTCTCTTCTCATCTACAACTCCCACAATTCACTTTCCACTGTTCCCTTCATCTGCATTTCCTCTCTCACTCATACCTCTACATTAATCTGCACTGCCTGCTCTTGAAGTTTGTTCTTTCTTCATCCACTGCATCTTCTATTTCCACTTGCAAGCTTTTAGTCATCGAATCATAAAATGGTTTGGGTTGGAAAGGACCTTAAAGATCATCTCGTTCCACATTTGCCATGGGTAGGGACTTCTTCCCTTATCCCTGGTTGCTCCCAGCTCTGTCCAGTCTGGCCTTGGACACTTCCAGGGATGGGGCAGCCACAGCTTCTCTGGGCACCCTGTGCCAGGGCCTCACCATGCTCACCAAATCTCTAAGGTCCACCTCCTTGGGAATTCCTCCTCAGGAATTGTTTGCTCTGGTACCTGTGTCTTGCTGGTTTTTGCTCAATAGGCAGAGATCAAGCTTATTTGAGATTCTTCTAAGGAGGCACTGGCTGGGCTGATGTGTGCAATCATAACAGTCCTGCTTTGCCTCCCAAGGAGTCCTGCAGAGATGCAATGTTGATGTGGTAAATATGGATGTGACAGGGTTTTATTGTTCAGGGGCAACCATCGTGGCTGGGTACCCTGCAGTTCATTGAGATTCTGGTGGAGAATCCCAATTTGGAGTGAAGGAAGTGCTGGTAAAAGACCATTCATTAAGCCCTCTCTCCATCAACAGTAAAATCAATAAGTAATTAACTTGCTAGAAAAGAAGAATTTTTGGAAGAAAATCACAATTTACACAAATGCACTGGCAGTGTCTCAATTCTGCTCATGAAAGGAGCCTGCCTTTCCCTCCATGTCTCCTCCTCCCCACTATCCTCCAGAAAACACATCTGTCATGCAGCAGAGTGAGAGCTCAGCACCAAGACTTGAGGCAAGGCTCATAAATGAGGTTGTAAAATATCCATAAAATAACCAGTGTGGCAAAGAGCGTGTCTGCAACCTTTCTGATTTCCTAAGGGAGAGACAACTTGTGATAGCGCACAGTCACTCTCAGTCCTCCTTCCTCCTGCCCCAAAAAATTTATTGTCCAATTTCAGCCAAATCTTATAGAAGGGATGAAACATTCAAAGGCATTAAGTTAATTTAAAAACTCACTGATCACCTGCAAGCTTAGAGATGTATGACCCACATCCACAGAATTTCTTTAACCCTATAGAAGCTCCTTCCTTAATCCTCTGAGAGGCAAAATGAACAGGTCTTTCCTGTTCCTGTTCCTGTTCCTGTTCCTGTTCCTGTTCCTGTTCCTGTTCCTGTTCCTGTTCCTGTTCCTGTTCCTGTTAAAGACACAGAGAGCAGCAGCAAACCCAACTGCCACATGAGCAAGTTTCCCCAAAAAATGATGCTTGGCTTCCTATTGGTTTTGTCCTTCACCCCATAATTTCCTCCAGTTACTGCAGTGTCTCACCCCACAGTGACACTGCCTGAGGAGAGAGACAGTGTGTGCCACCCAAAAAGGGTGACAAGAGGACTGGCAGATGGGCAGACAGGTAGGTTAACTGTTCACCTAGGTGTTCAGAGCTAGAGCTGCAGTCTAGAAATATTTTCTACAGCTACAGCTGTTCTCCTGAGATCATCCTCCATCATTGCACAGATGCCCTTATCACCTCCTCCTTTTTAATGGGAAGGTTTGTCTCTACTTAATTCTACCTCGATTAAGTGACTTTTCTAACACGGCAGCTTCACTGTTACTTTAGCATTTAAGTGAGGTCCAGACTTCCCAATGAGAATGGTATTTTAATTCTTCATCCTTGTCCTCACAGTAAGCACTTAATTGGCTCTATATTTGTGGTTTTCATGGCTATATTTTATTCCTCTGGAGCAGAACAGCTACAGGGACTATGTTACCTGTTGGACTGTATGCAAAATTGCTTGCACTGAAGCCAGAAATGACTCCTTCTATCTAACTCTGTTGTGGACATATATACTTCCTCCTAATTCAGTCCAAAAAAGCACAGAGTTTTGGGCAGGCACAACAGCTGTCTGAATGATCTATACCTAATTACATTCTCTGTGATTTTCTCACTATGTTTTAGAAATTTCCTGGGCTTTGGAAGGACTAGCAAGCTGTTTGAATTCTGATATATCATCAGAATGAGCAGAAAAGCACAGAGGTTTATTGAATTTTCTAAAGGCAGGCAAGATGCAGGAGCCTACTGAAAGAAATATCCTTCAATATCATTATTTTATTGGA